CAGGGGGTGTGGCATATGCAAATAAGTTAGGCTAATGAGTTCTGCAAATCAGCTCCTCCAGCTCTTTTTCTACGAAATGACCCCTGAATGTGACACAAAACACCACTAATGGCAACCTTTGCTCCAGAATAGTCGTTTGGAGCAACGTTTTCCAAACCACCCCTTTTCTCATAACCTTCGGAGAAGATTCCTCCTCCAAAGGAATTCCATTATCCCAAGGCTACTAGTATTCTGCTTAACAGGGAACAGTAATTGAAAGTAAGGAGGTTGCAAATGGAGATAGTATGAAAGGCCATTGTCATGAACAGTTCCCACTTCACTCACCAGTGTGAAACATTCCTCCAATGGAAGAGCCACTAAGGTTGGACAAAGACTTTTAGGACGGAGTAACTGTGGAAATAAGAAAATGAACTAGAGGGAAGTAAAGACTATGCAAGGTGTGGATATGGTAAAGTTACTTGGCTAGGTGGGAGGTGCTTCCTCCAATGGAAGAGCCACTAAGGTTGGACAAAGACTTTTAGGACGGAGTAACTGTGGAAATAAGAAAATGAACTAGAGGGAAGTAAAGACTATGCAAGGTGTGGATATGGTAAAGTTACTTGGCTAGGTGGGAGGTGCTGGGACGGCAAAAATCAGTGACCTCAAAACAATAACTAAATGGTCTGGATCAAGCCATGACCAGCTGTAGAGAGAAGAGATACTAAGAAGTTGATTTCACTGGAAAATTCCAAGTGTAAGTTCTAACTATGCATGCTCATCGGGGGTACTATAAATGTACTTGGGAGAGGTAACATCCCTCCCCACTGAGATTCTGCTCTTGCTGTCTCTGGCGATCACACAATGAAGAATTTAACAGCTCTGGAAATTACTTTTTCTGTCCTTCTTTGACACAGACTTCCTCCAGGCTACGGTAGGATACATGCCACTGCCTTTTGCGTGCAGTCATACCTCTCACCCACTCAACCTCCTCCGCCTGCCCAAAGGCAGATGAAACACCACATCGTGTCTATGTTGCCACCCACACACTGAACACCAGCGCATTATCTTTATTCCTTCTACTATTCGCTATCCTGTACTGGACCGAGAGCTCTTTTCAAACAGAACTCCCCCTTTTGTACATGCACTCTCACAAAGACTCCACGGGACACAGGATTGCTCACGTAGGTCTCTTGGTCCAATCGGCTGACAACGGTGCTGATGGATTAAAGTGTCAGTGACGGACTTCCGTGAACTCAGGGGAAGGTGGTACTGGCTAATATGGTATCTTTGTCTCTCGATCCACTGTGTTCTCTTCCCTTGAATTTTTGCTTCTTGGCTTATCTTAAGGAGTTTCTCCTTTTTTTTGTCCTAGAAAGAGTGATGGGATTTCCACGACGATAACCCTAGCTCAGGAAGTCTTTTCATGCCCAGATGGCAATGACGGCCATGATAAAGAAGCCAAAGCCAATGAAGGAGAACTTGACGAGAGGGCTTTCGTGTGAGCGCAGTTCGTAGGGCAGGATCTCCAGGAAAGTGACGTAAAGGAAGGTCCCGGCCGCCACCCCTTCCAGCACCGCCTGGGCCAGGCCGCTTCCATCGCTGTCGGAGAGGGACACCCCAATGCCGATCGCGATCCCGGCTGGGGACATGAGGGCAAAGACCACCAGGTACAGAAGCCTCCACCGGGGCTCGGTGCCGCTCTGCACCAGCTTCAGGGCCAGGCTGAAGGCCACAATGGCCTTGTGGATCAGCACGGCCAGGCAGAGCTGAATGGCACCCGTGTCCTCCTTCTGCACGCCGATGGCCAGGCCTTCGAAGATGGAGTGGAAGGAGAGCGAGAGGAAGAGCACGAATGCCCGGAAGGAGCTGTGTGACTCGGGCATGCCCTTAGGGTCATCGTGGGCTTCGGGGTCGCCGTGCGAATGGACGGCCCGAGGGCAGCAGGACAGTACCACGCTCTCAATGAAAAACACCAGGAAGAAGCCGAAAGAGATGATGAGTTCTCCGAATGGGTATCCCTGCCGTGAAGGGTGACAAGGGGGGTGGGTGGGTTTGGAAATACAGTAAGATGTACGGCTATTGTTGTGTTCCACACTCACTAGTCCAGCCCCTGGGTCTCAAGATCAAAATATCTGCCTCCAACCACTCCCCCCACTCCTTTTAATTCAGAAAACAGCCTCTGCCTACCCAGCGGTCTTTGGAGAGGTGTTTCTCATATGACAACATCTCACAGCAAGTAGCCTTAAGAACTACCTGTGCTTCAGAACCTGTTTATGATCTATGCACATGCTTATAAGAACTTCAAGGGCTCTAATCATTTATCTATGGGCAATTTAAAGCTAGAGGAGCCATAAATGGACCTGACCCATTGAGAGGCAAGGAGTCCCTTCTACCCAGTCGCTCTCCTTCATCTGGACACAGATCTTTGGGCAAGGGGCTGTTAATCCAATCTAGTGGCTACTGTGGCTTACCCCCCACCATTAAAAAATCTGAGCCAGAGATGTCAAAGGACGGGGCACTCACCTCAGAATCATCACCTTCAGAAGTAGTATTCTGTTTCAGGACAAGAGCTCCCTGTTTATAAAAACAGCACAGAAGGATACATTTTAGGATAATCTACAACAGGGAGAAGGGCAGTCTACACCAGGGAGAAGGGCAGTCTACAACAGAGAAAAGGGCAGTCTACAACAGAGAGGGCAGTCTACAGCAGTTAGCATGGGGTAGTGATTAGGGAGCGGCTAGGATCTGGGAAACTGAGGTCCGACTGCCCAACTTGTGCCATGGAAAATGCAGGAGAGGAGAATGCTTTGATTATAAGCGGCTTTGAGTCTCCGTTGGGGAGAAAAGTAGGGTGTACATACAGAAACAGATAAATAGCTCCTGTGGAGGTGGCAAAACAAAATTTCATTACATTTTGAACCGGTTCGGCAAGCTTCGTAAACAAGTCTCTGAAAAATGAACTTTGTTTTGTGCGATGATGGTGAAATTCATTCTTAAGAGTGATTGCTTAATTTGAAAACAATTTTTGGGGATTTCTTTTCAAATCTGAGCCTCAGCACCATCCAAACTCAATCGAGCATCGTCCATAAATTCCGGAGGGTGAAAAGAAAAATCGGATTTGGGAGCGAGTCAGATTTAGTCAGATGGGTGACACTCACCTGTTGCTGGCGCTTTTCTATTTCCGATTTGATGTCCCCCAATGCGTCAGCCACCATGTGCATAATGCAGGCCCCGAGGAACACTCCAGCTGCGAAACAGCCTATAAAGCTAAGGATGCGCCGATGCTTTCCTAAAAGAAGAAGGGGGAAAGTGACAGGGAGGGTCCCATTTTTCAGGTAAGACACTGAAGCTGGTGGCATTCTACAGGCTCATTAAACATATAGGCATCAGATTACTAACGACAAGAAAATAATCTTCATGTGTGGAAGGGTGACATCAGTTTCAGTACCATGGACAGTGCTTCCCTATCCCATACAATATAACCTTTGCAGTAAGGCTGTTCACACGTTCTGGTCACTCAGCTGTGAGATAAGAGCACCTGAATCAGTCCATAAATCAACAGGAAGGATAGACATGCTTGTTGAGAGGGGACAGTGCTGTGAATTACAACCGGGGACCCCAAATCTCAGGAACAACCCTCTTTCCCAGAGAGTGGAGTAATAGAATGCTTAAAAGTGCCAGATGAACAGAGAAAAGTACCCTGCAAGAAGGGGGGAGGGGGAGATTACCCTCATATCTGCACACTTGCAAAACTTTCTGCTTGCTGGGACAGTGCCAGCCCAACATTAGTGATACTTCCATTTCTGCATCCTGAGCGCTGAATAGTATGCTTGAAAACGAGGTTGAGCCAGATTTACTGGGTGTTTTTAACAATTTTAGTTGATTAAATTGTTGTGGCTTTTATCATGGAATTGTACTCGAAGGCCTTTGCCTGAGAGAATGGGTATAATTTTTTTTTAATTGCCCCAACTCTGAAAAGTTTCTTTAAAATTTTGTTTTAAGAAAGTTATTGTTTTATTCTGGTTTAATGGAATGTCCTGGTACAAGATAAAGAATACCAGACCCAAGACTCTGTAATAGGTTGGGCCGTGGATCTAAATATAATCAAACAAATGGGTATATATGGTTTCCCAGGGAGTGGGTCAGACTGCTCTGCAACACACGCAATGGCTACATCCACACACTGATGGATACTGCACTACATCCACAATGGCTACATCCACACACTGATGGATTGCTTTGTTCATGAAGGATAACCCAGTTGTGAATGTTTGCTATCATTCAATGTTCTCTTGTTTAGTTTAGTTTATTTATTGTACAGTCATCTGACCAAACATATAATCAGTTTTACAGTTTGCACAATAAACAACATTTATAGGATAAAACATGATCTAATAAAACTTAAACCTGGTTACGGTAATGTTCTCATGCTGTGTGTACACAGCCAATGAAGTGGAGATGAAATAAGTCCTATTTACATTATAGGTGGCTACCAAAACGTTTCATACACATTAACTCAGCCAGCCATGTAAAAAAAACACATAAGGCAGGCCCATTTCATTATAGCTTCAACATACTGAGGACTGAGTTGATTAAAAGTCTTTTGATTGATGTAAACAGGGAACCTTTCTAATCTACCAGGAAGTACATTCTAAAAACGTTTTTTTTTTTAAATTAGGGAAAGTCCATTAATGCAAGGGACCTTAAGGAATGGCATTCTGCCCCCCCCCGAACAGTCTGCTGTGATGTCATGAGTGATTAACACATGGAACTCACTGCCACAGGAGGCGGTGGCAGCTACAAGCATGGACGGCTTCAAGAAGGAATTAGATAAACATATGGAGCAGAGGTCCATCAGTGGCTATTAGCCACAAGGTATAGATAGGAACTCAAAGTCTAGGGCAAGTGATGCTCTCATTATTCTTGGTGCTTTGGGGGGGGGCAACAGTGGGAGGGTTTCTAGTGTCCTGGCCCCATTGCTGGACCTCCTGATGGCACCTGGTACTTTTGGCCACTGTGTGACAGAGTGTTGGACTGGATGGGCCACTGGCCTGATCCAGCATTGGCTTCTCTTATGTTCTTATGTTCATGGTGCCTCCGTGTTACACGTTCCCCTCTCCCTACTGCAACGAAGCCTACGCAGATGTGACCGGAATGGACACATTGTGCCCCAAATTATCCCCGCATTTGCCTCGCCCACACCGTATTTTAAGAGGGTAAACTCCTTAAATTCTGATGTGTCACGCCTATTGATGGGGTTACAATAACCCACACTGTGCTTTTACACAGGTGTCAGCCCTGATAATTATACCAGCCAGGCAGTTTTTGGAGTGAAAGGGGAGGAAAAGAAGTTGAGCTGGGTCAGTAAGACCCATAAACGTTTAACAAAAAACAGGGATGCCCTCATGTAATATCCCAGTTCCTGAACCAGAGATCACTGCTTGAGTATCCCCCCCATCACCACCTGCCCTTGAAAGTAGATGTTTTCCTCCTGTAAACTCTCTGCTTTAAAACTGCTGCCAGCCAGGAAATTGCAAAACAAATGAAGGCAACGTCTATTCTGTTGAGTCGAACATAACAGAAAAAGAGCTACGTTAATGGCCTTAAATGTCACAGTTAGCAGCTGGATCCAGCCACCTTTTTGTTCTACGTTACCCAGTTCCCATCCACGATATCCTCTGTCCCGAGCAGTGTTGCCTCAAAGCTGAGTGAGTGTGATCTAGCTCACAGTTTTTTTAGCCTCCAGCTCACACATTTTTATCTTAGCTCAGGAAGGAGGGCTCCAGAGCAAACTACTTTATACAAATTGCTTGCAACTTTAATGCCGCTAGCTCACAAAGGAGAATTTTTGCTCACAAGACTCCACAGCTTAGAGGGAGCCTTGGTCCTATGTGTCTTTTATCAGTGCGGGGCCCATGATCCCCAAAGCATAGGCTGTTTGGGTTTGTCAAAGGCACCCTCTTCCTCCCTTTTCATCAGCAGAAGAGCTGGCTGGATCCAAGCCAACATGTGCATCTACTGATGCTAAAGTAGCAGGCCGAGCAAAGCATGATTTCATGCACACACGTATTTACATGCATGAGCACAAATGAAAAGGGCAGGCATGTGTGTTGGCTCCCAATTTGATTTAACTTCCACAAGAACCGTGTGAGAAGGAAACGACTACTTTCCATGACATTTTGAAAAATGCAGCCCCCCGAAACGCAAACACAGACAGTGATTCACTGGGGTCAGGCGCCAGATAATCACGAGTCCCTGATAAAGGAGGGCCACTGCAGCCTACGGCTACTGAGCCTGTTGGGGGGGGGAACAAAGTTTGAAATGGGATTTCCTGATAGGCAGCTCAGTCTCTTAATCTCCGTGTGATGAGCTCTGGTGATTATAACTGATGCTCTGTGCTACTCTTGGCAGCACGGTACGGCCAGCCCTCCGAAGATAAGACCGATTGATGAGCTCTAGTGATTATAACTGTGCTACTCTTGGCAGCATGGTACGGCCAGCCCTCCGAAGATAAGACCATTCCTCCCCCACTGCCAACTCACCTCTGGCCATGTTAATCTGGAACCACTGGACTTGGGCTGGGATGAGTCCACACAGCAGCGGGACCACCAGCAGGCCCGCCAAGCAGCCGATCTTCACGCCCAGCAAGGGATCCATCTTGGCACCGAAAGGTCCACCAGGAAATAAAAAAGGGAGACGACGCAGCCCTCGGGTCCTGGTGACCCTGGGCTCCTCTCAGTCAAATCTGACCTGGAAACTTTTCAGTCAGTGGTCTCGAGAACAGTCCCCAAGGAAGCGTCTCTCTCACTTGAACCAATACAGGTCTCCCTCTGGGGATACCAGTGGAGCAAAGATCAGGCGGGCGAATCCCCATGTACCACACATGGGAAGGTCAAGAGCATCCAGAGATCCGACCGTACTCTTCCTTCCACCTCTGTCTCCTTTAGATACACTTCCTGGTGGTTCCGTCTCTCCCCATGGGTTTGTTCCTCTCCCACTTCACCATTCCATCCCTGGGTCTAACTTCCCTCACCACTGTGCTCTCTTCCATTCCGCCTCCCTCTCTCTTTTCTACCATCCGCTCTCCGGGTTCCTCCCTCTCCTCCTTGCTCCCATCCCTACCCTCTCTCCAGTCCTTGCCACCTTCTTGGGAGTTTGAGCAATCATCCCGATACTCCAAGGAGAGGGGGGGAAAAAAGAGAGAGACTGTCCTTCCTCCTGGGCAGCCCAGCCCACTCCATTCCTTTCATTATGTAAATACGCGATTCCATTCCGTAAACATTCCATAGGAGAGACTTGAGTCACGGCCAGCTCTGCCACATCGAAGAAGGGCTCCGCCCCAAGTTGCCACATGAAAGCCTCTGTTAAAATGGGACTGGTTTAGCTACAGGTCGCGCTTGCCCCGTCGGGACTCACAGAAGGGGTTCACGCTCTCGTCCACAGACTCTACCAAACCCTCGCTTTTAGCCAGGGGCTTTTAAGATGGAGAGGGAGAAACCAAATGAATGAATAACTGGGAAGAGAAAAACAACAGACAACAACAACAACAAAAAAAGCAGCTTGCAAGATGAGATATTCTGAGTCAAAGCACAGATCTGCTGCTTATGCAACAGACAATATTAGTCTAATAACCACTTAAGATCCTGAATCCGATTGCCCATCGAAAAAGCAACTGCTGTGCCAGGACCTCAAGTCCTATCAACCGCCACATCAATGGGAGGGAGGACTAACTTATTGCTGGTGATAGGAAGGAAACAAAGTCCCACATGTGCTGCAATTCCGAAAAGAAGTGTCATGCATTTGGAGATGTAGAAACTTGCTTCAGAAAGGAGGAAAAACACAAGAGTTTTGGTGTTCTGTAACTTATGAAACCTGCAGCCTAGAAATAATCAATAGCGGTCAGCCACGAGGTCAAACTGCCCCAACCAAGGCAGAAGTTTCAATCCCGACTGCAGAGAACCATGTAACACATTTGCAGATCTGACTGCAAAAACCCAGGAGGTCAGTGAACATTTTATATAAGAGAATAATTTCCCTGGGGACGGGGAGGGGAGCAGAGTTTGATTTGTAATATTCAAAACATTACAAGCAGAACAACTTTGTATTCTGAACCACGATCACACTCAGTTATATATAAGAGGAGTCTCATTATGCGGCAGCTTCCTCAAGCTTGTAATTTCTGCAAGATGTCCAACTAGGACAGTTAAATCAACATATGGGGGTTTGAATCAAATACGTCCCCCATCTGCAGACAAAACACTTCTCATTCAACGGAAGGGACTTACTAGATCCAACACTTTTAGATGCAGCTTTATAATGCGCCACTTCAAATAGCTATCCCTTTCCCAGAGTGAATTCTGGTTCCCAAAGAACCTGAATGGGGAAGCTCTTTGGAACTGCAAAGGAACCATCCAACTGGGTCAACTGTGTGCAGTTCTGGTCACCATCCCTTAAGAAGGATATTATAGCTTTGGAAAAAGTGCAGAAAAGGGCAACTCGAATGATAAAAGGGTTGGAACACTTTCCCTATGAGGAAAGGTTAAAGCGCTTAGGGCTCTTTAGCTTGGAGAAACGACGACTGAGGGGTGACATGATTGAGGTTTATAAGATTATGCATGGGAAAGAGCAGGTAGAGAAAGAGGTACTTTTCTCCCTTTCTCACAATACAAGAACTCGTCGGCACTCACTGAAATTGCTAAGCGGTCGGGTTAGAACGGATAAAAGGAAGTACTTCTCCACCCAAAGAGTGATTAACACATGGAATTCCCTGCCACAGGAAGTGGTGGCGGCTACAAGCATGGACGGCTTCAAAAGGGAATTGGGTGAGCATATGGAGCAGAGGTCCATCAGTGGCTATTAGCCACAAGGTATAGATAGGGGCTCTGGGGCAAGTGATGCTCTGTCTTCTTGGTCCTGGGGGGGGGGGGTCCAACAGTGGGAGGGCTTCTAATGTCCTGGCCCCACTGGTGGACCTCCTGATGGCACCTGGTATTTCTGGCCACTGTGTGACACAGAGTGTTGGACTGGATGGGCCTTTGGCCTGATCCAACACTGGCGTCTCTTATGTTCTTATGTTCAAGTGACATATTGTTCACTGCACAGCACTGACAGAGCAACAAACCCTGACCTTTTGAAGAATTTTTCACCTGGGGGGGAAGCACATTTTTTGCAGTGCAAAAGGACTTTACAGAACTCCTTTCCAGCAAATGGGGGGAGGGGGGAATGCATCCATTTCCTTTCTTGTTGTTTTCACAGTAGGCCAGGCCAGCTCAGTCAGTGTTACGCCCAAGCCCCATATATAGGAAAAAATGAGCATCATGTTGCTTCTGCCTCTTGAAATAGAAGGAAAAGAAGGTGCCCCTGAAGAGAGACAACCTTTTAAGTCTGGCTTCTATTAAAGAGATCACAGGCATGCGGAGGTGGGGTTACATCACTGGCAACAGAGTGAGCAATCTCAACCCACATTCTATGCAGCACCACTAATAAGTGCAAATGAGAACACCCCAAACAGAGGCAGAAAGGCTGCGTTTGCTAACTGTGGACAGTGTTGGCAAATCACGATGTCTGTGTAAGAGAGATGCCACGGGCTAATAACAATAGCACATTCAGTGCTCCACAACGGCCTTGCCTAACAAACACAGAAGGTGCTCACTAGAGCTAAGGATGACTCGACGTGGTTGAGGTTAAGTCAGCCGTTCAGACCGACACAGTAACAGATACCGAGCCACACAAGAGGCATCCCGGGTTACCAAAATCACAATTCAAGGCACACACGCGCCCCCCTCCTCTCACCCAGCCCGGCCTCCTTTGCCATCAAGCCCCAAGACGGGTTCGACAGGCTTGGGGGAGCCACGCCCGAGAGTACTCGCCTGGAGTTGGCTGCCTGTTCTAGCAACCGAAGCCATTTCATTTTATAGAGCAAGCAAACAAGCCCTGACTGCTGCTCTCCAGTCTTTTACAGAGCAAGGGTGATCCCAGGAGAAACAAAACGGAAACATAAGAAGGGCCCTGCTGGATCAGACCAGGGGTCCATCGAGTCCGGCATCCCACCTCACAGTGGCCAACCAGTAACTATGGAGGGCCAACGACAGGGCATGGAGTTTGAGGCCTTCCCCTGATGCTGCCTCCTGGCTCTGGGATTCAGAGGTTGGCTGCTTCTGAACATGGAGGTTCCCCTTCAGTCACCACGGCAAGTAGCCATTAATAGACCTGTCCTCCGTGAATCTGGCTAATCCCCTTTGGACGAAATATGTGCCAGTGGCCTTCACTACCTCCTCCAGCAGTGAATCTCATGTTTTAATCACTCACTTCAATCACTCATCTTCCCCCCCCCCTCCTTTTCGTATTTCGTGTGTGCGCACCCGTGCCTGGACGTCATGGTGACCTCTGGCAACTCCTACTGGGGCACGGAGGATGTTCAGAGAAGTGGCAGGATAGCCTGCCTCTGCCTCCCAACCCTGGTATTCCCTGGAGGTCTCCCATCCAAATACTTGCCGGGGTCAGCTCTGCTTAGCTTTCGAGATCTGACGAGATCGGGCTTGCCTGGG